GCTCCCAACACCCATTACCCCAAAAACCCCTCAAGACACCCAATGAAGGAAAACATGGCCCAGAGGCACCCCCGGCCTCGCTGGGCCCTGGGGGGAGAGGGGGCAGAAACGCAGGGATGAGGGTGGCTCCCACCCCCAAAAGAAGTGGCCACAGGGGCCAGGATGGTCCAAGCTCAATAAGCAAACCCCCCCTGGGTGAGCTGGGCCCTGGGGGGAGAGGGGGCAGAAACGCAGGGATGAGGGTGGCTCCCACCCCCAAAAGAAGTGGCCACAGGGGCCAGGATGGTCCAAGCTCAATAAGCAAACCCCCCCTGGGTGACGTCCCCAAAATGGGGCATTTTTGGAAAGAAATAAGGACGATGAGGAGCAGGAAGGCCGGGGCAGAGCACCCTCGCTGGTGGTCGGACCCATGGGTGCCCCTGGACAGCAATAGGAAGAGCTGGATGGGGGCAACCACCCCTGCCACCCCCCAAGGACCTGCCTCGTCCTCCAGGGGTGCCCCTGCAACGACCTAAAACCCACAAAATGCTTTAAAATTGGACATTTTCCCTTTTCCCTGCTCCTTTCTGACCCTGGGGGCATCCCCGGATGAGGGGGGCGGCAGCTCCGCACCCCCACCCAGCACCGTCCCCCATGGCCATGAGGGACCCCCGGGTGATTTCCCCCCCCCCATAACCCTTCATTTCTGGACATCCCAAAATTGGATGGCCCCAAAGGCCATTGAGTCGTCGAAATGTAATTGATTTGAGTTAATTAATGGGTTAAATTGGTGCTAACGAGCCCGCTTGCTCGCAGAACCGCATGCACGAGTCCCTGCACCTCTTCAACAGTATATGCAACCACAAGTTCTTCGCCGCCACCTCCATCATCCTCTTCCTCAACAAGAAGGACCTTTTCGAGGAGAAGATCAAGAAAGTCCACCTCAGCATCTGCTTCCCAGAATACGACGGTGAGGGGGTCCTTCCCCCTGCCCCCAGAGCCCCCAAAATTGGGGTGTCCCAGGGGTGGGGATCGTTTGGGTGCTGCTGGGATCCGGTCAAGGCCCTGGAGGTGGGAGCGGAGATGGATGTGGCCTTGGGAAGTGGTTGGGAGGCTTGAAATGGGGTGAAAATGGGGTGAAAATGGGATTAAAATGGGATTAAAAATAGGTGAAATGGGATAAAAATGGGGATTTAAAATGGGGATTTAAAATGGGGATTAAAATGGGGATTTAAAATGGGGATTAAAATGGGGATAAAAATGGGTGAAACAGGGTAAAATGGGATAAAAAGGAGATTAAAAGGGGATTTTTTTATTTTCTGTTTTATGGAATGAGGTAGAATGGGATAAAAAGGGGTAAAACGGGGGAAATGGGTGATATGGGGATAAAAAGGGGATAAAAATGGGGGAAATGGGATAAAAATGGGATAAAAATGGGATAAAAGGGGTGAAATAGGATAAAATTGGGATTAAATAGGATAAATATGGGATAAATATGGGATAAAAATGGGATAAATATGGGTGAAATGGGATAAAAAGGAGATTAAAAGGGGATTAAAAGGGTTAGAATGGGGTAAAATGGGATAAAAAGGGGTGAAATGGGGGTAAAATGGGGATACAAATGGGATAAAAATGGGATAAAAATGGGATAAAAGGGGTGAAATGGGATAGACATTAGTTAAAAACGAGTGAATGGGGTGAAATGGGATAAAAATGGGATAAAAATGGGATAAAAGGGGTGAAATGGGATAGACATTAGTTAAAAACGAGTGAATGGGGTGAAATGGGATAAAAATGGGATAAAAATGGGAACAAAAATGGGTGAAATGGGATAAAATGGGGATAGAAAGGGGATAAAATGGGGGAAATGGGGTGATATGGGGTAAAAATTGGGTGAAATGGAGTGAAATGGGGATAAAAGGAGATAAAAGGTGATTAAAAATGGGAAGAAATGGGATAGAAATGGGATAAAAATGGGATAAAAAGGGGAAAAATGGGATAAAAATGGGATTAAAAGGGGACAAAATGGGATAAAAGGGGACAAAAATAGGACAAAAGGGGACAAAAACGGGATAAAAGGGGACAAAAACGGGATAAAAGGGGATACAAATGGGTGAAATGGAGCGAAATGGCATGAAAAGGGGTGAAATGGGATAAAAGGGGATAAAATCAGGATAAAATTGGGATTAAACGGGATAAAAATGGGATAAAATTGGGATAAACGGGGATAAAAAGGGGCACAAGGGGATGCAATCGGGTACTTTCGATGGGTGTAGCTGGCAGCCGGCCCCGTTTGCTGCCCCGCAGGCCCCAACACGTTCGAGGACGCGGGGAATTACATCAAGACGCAGTTCCTGGACCTGAACATGCGGAAGGACGTCAAGGAGATCTACAGCCACATGACCTGTGCCACAGACACCCAGAACGTCAAGTTCGTCTTCGACGCCGTCACGGACGTCATCATCAAGGAGAACCTCAAGGACTGCGGCCTCTTCTGAGCGCCGGGGCGGGAGGCACCCCAGAAACGGTGAGAGACACCCCAGAAATGAGAGACACCCCAGAAGAAATGATGAGAGACACCCCAGAAATGATGAGAGACACCCCAGAAATGATGAGAGACACCCCAGAAATGATGAGAGACACCCCAGAAATGATGAGAGACACCCCAGAAATGATGAGAGACACCCCAGAAATGATGAGAGACACCCCAGAAACGGTGAGAGACACCCCAGAAATGATGAGAGACACCCCAGAAACGGTGAGAGACACCCCAGAAATGATGAGAGACACCCCAGAAACGGTGAGAGACACCCCAGAAATGATGAGAGACACCCCAGAAACGGTGAGAGACACCCCAGAAATGATGAGAGACACCCCAGAAATGGTGAAAGACATCCCAGAAACAGTGAGAGACACCCCAGAAATGATGAAAGACACCCCAGAAATGGGGATTTGGCCCCCAAAATAGTAATAATAAAGGGGTTGGGGGGTGAGGATGTGGTAGAGACCGCCCCGTCCTGCTCTGGTGGTGATGGGACGTGGGTGACATCGTTGGTGACATCGCGGGTGACACCGGGTTTGCCATTGAACTGGGAATTCCCAGATGTAGAGGATGGGGGGATGAAATGGGAGCGAGGAGCAGGGGAATTTGGGGTTCCCCACCCCCGGGGAAGGGCAATGGGGAGGTTTGGGTCCCTCCCCCTGCAGCATCACATGGAGGGTGGTTATGATTTGTAACTAATTTGGTCAGATTGCTTTGCAAAACCAACAGGTTACAGCCCAAAAAGATATAAATATGTGTATTTTAAATATATATTATAGATAAATATCTAAAATTATA